GACATAGCGGAAAGTGTCCCAACTCTGCATAAGTCCTAGCTCCATAATGAACAGCTATTTGTTCTTGGACAAGTTGCTCCTCTTGGGCTCAATGTTGTCTTCTACAAAGTAAGGACTTTGCTGCCTTATTTCACTAGGTTATTATAAAGATTTAACAAGATATCATTTTTTAAATGCTTAGAGAAACAGTAAAGCAATGGAATAATCTGTTCCTAAACTTTACAACTGAAATCATCTTGGAATCCCAAATAAAATCCAATCTGTATTTTGTTCATAGGTTCTAATATGAAAATGTTGCTGTTTTCAGAAAATGTTATTAAGTCCTAATTTTGCTTATTAGTTGTCCTACTCTTTGTGACTTATAATTTAGGGTATCTCAACTATTTCATAGTTTGTAACTAAATTTATTGATAAATATCTCATTAAAGTAGGTGATGTGATTGTCCACTATTATGGAGTTTATCAATGAAACTAATGGCAGAAAAACCAATGGATGTAAGACCTGGCTTGGACCAATGATCCTTCTCTACGGACTGAAACTGTGAACCAGCAGATGTTTGCTAGGATGATGCTTTACACCCATGTTCATATCCAGCTGACATGGGAGACCAAAACCCTACTTTCATTTTTTTTTTAGGTTCCATGAAGAAGTTGCAAGTTGACATTCTCTAAGTTTTGACATACACACTTAACAACATATTTTGCACATAACACCCGACACATTATTCAGTTCTGGTGTCATCTCATAGACCACCTTACATGACTATTTTTGTAGTGCAAATCATAATTTCAATATTTTGATAGCACCCATTTTCCTTTATTCAAACAGTTTCCTTACAGCTAGTCAGCAAACAGTCAAATAACCTTCTAGTGACTGTGCAAAAGATGGAATGCTTCAAAAATCTGTGCAGCCTCCTTATGCAGGGGCCATGCTAATTTTCTCTGTAGTGTTTCAATTTGAGAATATGTGCTGCCGAAGCAAGCACAAAGCCCTACTTTTACACATGATTGGTGATGAAACATGGATAAGGTTTGGTCCTGTTAAGTCCAACTAACCTACTTGACATTCTGAGAATTCTCTTCAGTGGCTTCCTGGGAGGCAGAATTTGAAAATATTTTTAAATTTTGAGGTAGAGGTGCAAGTAGCTTGGGCAATTGTCATTATTATGTAAAACAGATCACTCAGGGGCCAACCACCACTGGGAGTCTGCTGCTCTGGGGAAGGTTAATATGGGACTTTCTACTGCCTAAGGTACTATACAGGATATAAAGGTGTGGGAGGGTACAGACCTGGTAGCAAAGAAGAAAGAAACACTGATCTCTTTCTGCCACATTATTTCAACCTCTCTGACCATTTAGAACAAGCCCAATGAACATCTGCTAGATAAAAGACCAACACGGGCCTCAAAGAATCTCTTACCATGAAGGTCTCAGCTAAGTCTAGGCTGAGATGTGGGTTCCACATCAGGTTCTGAATATGGGGGTAAGGGTCAATTTGTTCACTTTGTGTGTGGATAAAGTCACACTGCCAGAGCAGGTTCTTTGGCAATAACGGCTGAGCATATAAGCATAGGTATGTGAACTAAAACATGCTATAACTTCAACGTCTCTGTATGGATCACCATGAAGACCTGAGGGATCTGAATCAGTACGGGCATCTTGGTGTCAAAGGTCAACCATTATCAGGCAGCAGGACCAGTTTTAGGGGCAATAATGCAGCAACAGAATTAACAGAAACAACAGAATGATTGGAATGTCCTTTGTTTCTCCTCCTTCTGATTTGATAAAGGGATTGCCTTCCTTGGATTTAGTGAACCCCGTTCGTTCTTGAAAAATTCAAGGAGTACGTAGAAGATAGTTCTCAGAAGACAGTAAAAGATTTTCTGCTAAACTGGACATTTCAAGACCCAAATAACTGATCAGAAAAATCAAAGATGTTACACTATTTTTTAATCTCATGCATAGGTTTTATTCTTGGATGAAATGAACAATGTTGGGATCTCTAAACATAAAGGTCTTACAAGTGCTGAGATAAAGAATCCAGCACGCACTAGCACATGTAACCAGTCTAGCTTTTTGTTTGATTTCTAACTGCGGCAGGGGACTAACTCACTGCCACTCTAAAACCACCTGAGCCAAACTATGACATCTCACCTGATAAGATACAATCGTTGTAAATATTTTAAGCCTCGATTTAGTGTTAACTAGCATTTTAATGTAAACACTTACATGTCATGATGACTAGAAACAGCATAATCGGTGGCAGTTTTCCCAGACAGATCTTGAAAAAATACATCAATATCTTGCTCAAGTAGAAGGCTAACTATACTTGCTGATCCACAACATACAGCAAGTATGAGAGCAGTTCTAAAATGACAGAGAATTTCTCCCTTAAGAACTATAGTAAAATTTAAAGCTAATCTAGTATACATTACCAATTTAATATCTTGCCTATTCATGCAGAATTAAACATAATTAAATATTTATATGTATTAAATGACATAAGCATCTTGGGTGCCCAAGTGTTCATCTTTGTAAAATACCACCAAGGTTAAAAGGAAGGGACAAAAAGAAAACCTCTTATCTCAGTGGGATATTGCATCATAGAAGCTACTAATTTAAAGGCTTTTGATGGGCAAGAAACTATGCTATGGCCACTTATCTGAAGTGGACAAAAATTTAAGTGAAGATTTCTTCCCAGCTTCCCTAGGCTGATATGCTGTAATAGAAAATCAGCCAGGGGATTACATAAGAGCTATCTGCATGCTGAAAGCAGTAATATTAATAACGGGGAGAATAGTGGTCATAGTTGTTTCAGTTAACAATGCCAATAAGCATGAGCTGGGCACTAAATTAAATGCTGTACATACACATCTTTCTTACTTATGCACAGCCAATTTTGAAGGACATATTCTCCTTTTCACATATGACAACATATTTGGTGGTAAATACCATTCCAAGGTCACACATCTAGCAAGTAAGAAAGCTAGGAATTAAACCCAGTCTTGTGTGAATCCAAAGCCTTGCTCTTTTCTCTTATCGCCCAAATACAGCTTGCTTGCCTTCACTAAAGGAAAAGTATATCCACTTAAAACTAACTTACTCCCTCTCTCCATACCAATTAAAAATAAAAACATCAAAATACACTGGAAATAAAACAAAAGCTGATGAACCCACAGTATCAATTGTATGTAGGGATAAGCTAACATTAATATCCTTCAAAGAAAGCAAATTAAAGCAGAGTCATTCAAAACATAAAATGATTATCAACTCCTATTGATGTTGAATACAGCATACTTAGCAGAAAAGCATATAAGACACAGAGGTTAAAAACTACCAGAAAGGGGTAAGAAGTTCAATATTGAGTCATAAAGTAAACCTAAAATTAAAGTTCACACTTCATGAGACTAACATGAAATCCATTTAGCTAACATAAAATCATATAACCAAAAAGGTCACATAATAACATCAGTCAATGTAGTAAGATGAATCCTACTAAAACTGTTCTTTATGTTGCCCAGTTTAACTCTTTTTCTACTTAACTGATTCGTGTTAATCCTGATCACTATGTCACAATAAGTTAATCTTATGAATATTTATGACGTGAGTGACTGCTATCACTCTAGAACAACAGACAGATTAAAAGAAATAACTGTACCTTCCAAATTTATCAAGGGCATTTAAATTAGCTTTTTTCTTGATTAAAAATTTCACCATTTGCTGTTTCTGTCCATGTATGCCAAGCAGAAGTGGCGTGAGGCCACACTGTAAAACAATGCAAAGCAAAAATGATATCTGATTCAAAAATTACATTTTCTCAACTGAACTGAAAACTATATAAGATCCTATAAACTTACACTCATAGAAAGTAAACAAATTGTAGTCACTTCCCTCTTACTCTTCTGTGCTTTCCCACACATCGCTCCTTCCCTTGGAGACATTCCTCCTCTGCCTCACCACATTAACTCTGATCATCTCAGAAACTGACTTTAAACATTTATTCGTTCCAGGAATCTTTGCTTCTAAGCCAGCATTTGGCACAGTATTATTGGATGATAATATTTTTTTCCCCATCTAAGCAAAGAGCTTCTTGAGGGCAGAAGCTGTATCTTTTATCTCTATATCCTCAAAACCTAAGACAAATTGTTGGGTATTAAGCAAGAATTTGAATGTAAAATATTTTTTAGTTTCACATGTTTCACCAAAAGATCAAACTCCAATGTGAAATAAAAATTGCTATTAAGACTCATACTGCCCATTTCAAGAATGTTTCCAACATTTATTCATTTAAAATCTATTTGTATTTAATTTTTTCAGACTGTTAACTAAATAATCAGTTCATAGGACTACTGAAACTAAATTAACAGAATTCCTATATGTATTCTTAATAACTCCATGATATTTAGTGTTTTAAAACTGCCATCCTGATTAGCCCAATGCTCTACAAACTTAAGAGACATACTGGATAGTCGATAATACAGCTTCAATTGACCAAAACGGTTTAGAATTTGCTAAATGTTTAATTGAGAAAACTCTGCTCTTAATAACAACTTATTGCCCTAAGCGCTTGAATAATAAGTGACACCTAAATGATAAGAGTAGCGACACAAAATCCTGAGAGGACCATCCTCTACTTATTGAAAGATACTCACTGCAAAAAGACCTTCTGAATGGCAGTGAATAACTGAAGGTAGGAAGGAAAAGCTATTATTCTGTAAGCTGATTGATACTGCCAATAATATTCATTTTAATGTCCCAATCACAGAGATAAAATTCAGACTAGGACAGGAATTGTGGCTCACACCTGTAATCCTAGCATTTTGAAAGCCTGAGGCAGGTGAATCGCTTGAGCCCAGGAGTTCAAGACTGGCCTGGGAAACATGGCAAAAAACCCATCTCTACTAAAAAAAAAAAATACAAAACCTGAGGTTGGAGGACCACCTGAGCTTGGGGAGGTCGAGGCTCTGGTGAGCTGCGATAGCACTACTGCACTCCAGCCTGGAAAACAGAGACCTCCTCTCAAAAAAAGAAAAAGTCAAACTACTATTACTGGAAATTAAAGATGTAAAGGAATGAGCACATATCCAACTCCAACTCTTCTAGAGATATCTCAGTTTCTGAGATGTAAGAATTTACACATTACACTTATCTATTCAGTGGTTCTTAAGCAGGTGTGTATCCAGATTTTGAGGAATTTCTTGTTGTTGTTAGAGACAAGGTCTCATTACGTAGCCCAGGATAAACTCAAACTCCTGAGCTCAAGCAATTCTCCCACCTCAGCCTCCCTAGCAGCTGAGACTATAGCCGTGCACCACCATGCCTGGTTCAAGGAAACATTTTTAACATACATGTCCAGGCTTTATCAGACTTACTTTATGAAAATCTTCAGGGGAGAGCCTAGAGTGGTAGATTATTTAAAATTTTTCCTCAGGTTACTGGGATGCACAATTCTAGCTGAAAACTAGTACAATAGATAATTACTTCAGTGTCCTCTCAGCCACATGACCAACTCCCTTTATCATTTCAGGATTTGGCCAAAAAGAGAAAACAGTAGGAGAGAGATTCATTTGCTGAAATCACCACGTAATTTTCCTGGGTAAGGGGAGAACAGGGTCTAGTAAACTCAAAATACAACTTGATCTTCGTACTTGTAAGCTACTGATGTCCCACCTTTCCATCAAGACATTCTAGATTTGAAAGCAGAGTTGAGACTCTACTTGGCTATTTCTACCAGAATAGAATAGTACACAGTCAGTTAAGTACTTGTGATTCCCTCTTCTCAAGGGTTTCCCACTACATTACACCTATTCATTGCCAATCTGGTTCCTCAGAGGCCTCCTAAAATTGATCTCTGGGCAGTTTACAACTTGCTAACTCCCAATCCCAAACTGAAAACTGTCATTCTCTAAAACTGAAGAGAACCTTGCTTCACCATACAAAGAAACAAATGAATGAACAACAACAACACCACACACACCAACAACCTTTCTATTGTCTTTCCTTTCCATTACCTAATTGCCAAACTGGCCTTGATATTTCTGATTGCTCTCTTTTCTCCTTTCCATTTCTCCGTTATGAACAATCAGAACTATCTTAAGCCTTGCCACTGAGAGATACATCACTTCATGCTATTACTTTTTTTTAGGAACTTGTCAAAGCAACAGGATTTCTATTCGCTGAAATATGTTTTGATTTTCTTGGAGTTTTAATGTAAAACCTATTTCCAGGGCAAATTGTATTATTTTACAATCATTAGGGAAAAAAACCAAAAACCTGGGAGGGAAAAATTGAAAAAAATAAGTATTACCTTTTACAAATTCACTGTTTTTTAAAAAAACAATTTACCATAAGTGCATTTAAAAAAAAAAAAACTGGACCCTCTCTAATGCTTCTTTAAATTTAACAATACTTAAAATAAAATCTTAGATAATTAAGTCACTTCAAAATATTTTCATTCAGGTTATGCTTGAGCTTCCAAATACAGAAAACTGACCCTTACACAGGAGGTCAGTGTTAAAAACAATTGCATTTCAGTATTTTGAAAATAAAATTGGTAGATCTGTACCTTGTTTTTGGCTTCAATATCAGCACCGTATAAAAGCAGTGCTTTGGCCAGTAATTTGTCTTCATTGTAGACAGCATAGTGTAACGCGGTATTGCCATACACATCCGGAAGGTTTGGATCAGTGCCATGTTCTAGCAACATTAACACACATGCATCTTCTTGGCACTGTACGGCCTGTCAGTATTAGACCAAAAACAAATTATAAATCCTAGGAATTCGAAATAAATATTCCACGGGTTTCACCAACTAGTTATATTTAGATAGGAAAACTCATCTTTATTGTATGTATTGAAATCGAATACATCTCATGCCGATATAGTTGGCTACTGCATACCTTTATTAGAGCTGTCCTCTTTTTGCTGTCAAAGGCATGAAGTGCACATCTTCTGTCCAGCAGGAGTTTTACTATTTCTGAATTCCCATTGGCAGACGCCAAATGGAGAGCAGTTCTATGAGAGCGAGAAGACTTTTTAGGAAATTGTAGTGCATTATCTACAGCCACCTCAACAATTCATGTCATTGCAAACACTAAACAGCCTATTACTCTGCCTTCAAAACAAACACCGAATTTTCCTCTGAAGAAAGTAAGCTATTACTTTCTTCATTATCCCTCATTACTCACTGTATGAATAAAAGAGCAGCCTATCTGAACAGAAAGAGCATAGCCCTTGGATTGCATTCAACTTGGGCTGGAATCCTACTTCAAGTGCTGCCACTTCTTAGATGTTGCTGAGCTGCTTTTTATCTCAATTTCCTCATCAATAAAATGGGAATGAAAATAGTAGCTTTCTCACAGGAAACCACTGTAATACTTAAATGAGACTCTACACAAAAGATAGAGAATAGTTCCTAACACAAAAAACAGCTCAATAATTGTTAGATATAATTTTTACTACAACTACTAGAGACAACATTTAAATTAAGTGAGATAATACCATCATACCTACACGTTGTTGAGGTATGTTTGAGAGATTACAGGTAACATTCTATTTTAGTGATTCTAAGATGATCATTGTTTCCATGTTTAAACATTTCTTACACTGGAATACCACTTATAATTCATGATTTACTATAATTGGGACATAAAGT